TGAGAATGCTTTTGGCAAAAAGACTTCAGTCTTGGAGGTCTTGCTTTTCCTTTCTAAACAGATAGCCCCTCCATCTCAGCTTCAAAGTTATCGATTTGAGATTCCAGCTCAGACACCTAACCAATAATAAGCATTGTCATATATAATGTCTAAATGAGGATCCACATATGTAATAATAAAACAAAAGAGCCTTTAAAAAGTACTAGTATAATGCTATAAAGGCAGTAGTAGAGTGTAACTGTTATATACCGTATTGTTCAACTAAATCTCTAGTCTCTGACTTGGCTTCTTTCTCCTTTGGATCCTACAAATATCATCAACAAAGAAACTTCACTATACAGTGACTGAAGGTTATTTCCATGTATCATATGCAAAAAAAGCAAAGCAATAGATACCGTTGTGGGTTGTTGTCCTAGGCCTTCTTTGGAGAAAGCTTTTGTCTGGTTCCATTTCTCGCTCAATAAGCTTGCGGGCGTCCATCAGAGCCTGCTCATAAGAGGCACTAACCTACGTCAACACGTATCAGAAAGAAGAACCAGATGTCAACAAGGAAGTAGAAGCTAAAACCAGATTAAATTTGAGATAGTGTGGCAGCAATAACAGAAAGTGTAAGTGCCAACAGATAATGACCAATGGAAGATAACATATGTATGTGAACCAGAGAACACAACAAGCAAGTAAGCAATTGTTTTTAATCTGGTCTCGCTGGACTGTATCCATGTCTTAATCTGGTCTCTATACCTCTGAAGTTTCTTAATCTCCTTCTTCAAGTCGGCCTCAAACTTCTCCTTCTGATTGGCATTGGTCAGTATGCTATAACCTATAAAAATACGAAATTCAATACGCGAACAGGAAACTTCAGCATTCAGATTACACAAAAACCAATAACGTCAATAATTCAAAGAAAATTCAAAACATTTACGCATGCTTTGTTCCATATGGAAGATCAAGAAAGTGCATATCATAACAAACTTAAATAAGTTTCTTAAATCATATACAAAATATATTTTACATGAATTTTATAGAATAATTTATTAACCCAAAAAAATGATCTATGCATTATTTCTACGAGTAGTACAATACAACACAACAAAGTATACAAAGTTTTTTTTTTTTTACTATTTTGCCCCTTGTTACATAAAAGGAATATTCATGTACAATTTCCAAAGAACGTATAAAATACTCACAAGCACGTTTATATGCATGCCAAGGTGTAAGCATGCTTAAAAATCTGTCCCCGGGCCCCGCAGGGACAATGTCCCACAAATTATTAACCTAAGAAAGTATAAAAACATAACCATATGTATCGTTTGTAGTCTCATGAATTCAATGTATTTACCTTGATCAGCAACAAGACATCTGCATGAATTGTCAGCAAAGAGTGCAACTTTTTCACATGGTTTGATTCCAATAACTCTTAAACCTTCAGAGAAATTCAAAATATCCTCCTCTACCTGCAAATAAGGTTCAAATTAAACTAATTAGAGTTTTTAGTATTGAATTATATTTCATTTCCTGCCAGCTAAATGCGTGAAATTTTATAATTTTTAAAGATTAAAAGGGAAGACCTGGTTGTATGTCATATTTGTAGGTGGGTCATGATGTGGACCCACCAATGCAACCCGATCACCAAATCTTTCTGCTGAAGATCTCCAAATATCAGGAATTTCTTCTTCTTCATCATTTCCACTTAGCCGTGCTCAGGGACACACTCTTATCTTCTGTGTCATTTTCTTCTTGCACGTTCCTCAGTTTTTCCTGTAGTTGTAGTCATAAAAAATAATAATAATAATGTCATTTTAACAAGTATATAATAATGAGATTTGGATTATGTGTCTTACAGTTAGTTTGGCGTTTTGAAGCTTGAGTTTCTCTGAGTTGTCAGTGAGTCGGTTAATCTCAGACTTAAGGGTCAGATTTTCACTAGTCAATGCAAGAATTGATCAAATAAGAGCTAGTCTGGGGCTATCTGACTCACAGAGAACTCCAATGGTAATTTTTAATTGCAGAAATATTTTTTTTTTTTAAATATAAACATTGATTCTAAGATTGCTGAATTATAATTATTATTCTTTGTGTTAAAAAGCCTGGGGAAGCTTTGAAGGACTTCTATAAGCGGACAAACAGTTGCAGGGTTAACACAAGATATTACTTTCATTTTATTACTATATATTAATTGCAATATAGTCTTTGCGCTTTGCACTAACGAATTGTATTTTCATTTTTTTCCTTATTAAAGCATTGTGTAGTTTCATTTTTCTGTTATTGGGACATTGTAAATATGCAGTGCTTACTCAAAAGAGGCAGTAAGCCGAGTAAATCCACCAAAGGAGCACCACATTGACTGCCAAAAAAGGAAAGACCAATGAAGATTGCAAAATATGTAAACATATCATATCATACTAATTACTAAAGGTATAAAAGAAATGCAACTTACTGATTCAGAATAGCTGAAATCATACAGATCTTCATCATGTGTCCAGTCATCCATACTGAATTCAGGATATGGTCGACAACCATATGCATAAAGCCACCGACCTTTCTCAATTTTCCTACAGTTTGGACATTGCATCACTCCCTTCACATTAAATGAAGACCCAATGCCATAGAAAATAAAAACACAAACTTTTCACTTACTGGCTTATTAAAAGCATCAATGGAGGCATCACGATCTTCACCTCCAGTGTTTCCATCACCTTTACAGAGTTGGCAAATCCCAACATTTAATAAATGCCCTCTCACTCCATATTTTAGCAAGTTATTATTCAGAGACTGTTTTGCTATCTCTTCATATATCTCTATAGCTTTCTGATATCTGTAATAACACATTTTTAGGGTATTATTACTCATGATTTTAATCCCGTATTAATATATATGAAACTTACTGTTCCAATTGAGCTGAAAATTGTGCGATTTTCTGCTTGCATTGGTTTGCAGAAGTTGTTACTTCCTTCACCTTGAAAAAGATCAGATGCTTTATCATAGTAAGCAATAGCTTGCTCCAAATTTTGCTCCTGTTCATATAACTCAGCAATTTCCTACAGAGTGAAACCAAATTATATAAAAACTAAATTAAAATAAATAAATAAAAAACTAGAAATAAATGATAATCCTATGATGTATGTACCTTGCACTATCTGGCAGCCATGCTGAGTCTTCCAATTTCCATGAAAATGTTTAATGCTTGCTCTAGGTTAGCTATGCACGCTGCAGACATTTAAGATAACAAGAAAAAGAAAACATTTTTTAAATATCCAGGAAAAATAATGGATTAAAAATCATTATCTTTTTAGTTTATACCCTTGGTGCTTGTTTTCTTGTATGAGTGAGCTGCATCAGCATAAGCACTAGCAACTTCATGTTTGCTATCCATCTAGAAAAAACAACACAAAATCAAGATTATAATTGGGTTCAAAAACTGATGATAGAATTAACTATTAAGCACTTACTTTCAGATGACAGTCAGCCAGCTTGACATACACAGATCCAGCTTGGTCCCCTGAAAATATTATCAAGAAGTAATCTTTAAGAAAATTACGGTTTAAAAGATTAAAATACATAAATGAAAGGTTTTTTGTAAGAAAGAATGATATAAATGTTTCAGGATTAATATTTAATACTAACATGATTTGGCAAGCTTGTAAGAATTGGCAGCTTTTTCGTATAAATCACCAGCATCTTCAAACTTGGACCCAAAGAAGCCCCAACCATTGAGCTTCTTGTCAGCTTTCTTCTCAAAATTCCTAACCTTTTGCTATTTGATCAGACATTCTCAGTAGATCCCTTTTGTTCTTTGCAAGATGTTTTTCTCACTCTGTGAGTTTTCACACAGAAGAATAGAAAAAGAAGAAGATTTTAAGTGAAGAAAAAGAAATAGAAAAAAAAGGAAACTGGTTTGGCCTTCCTCTTTTCTCTTTGCAAGTTTATACCTTGATCTTAGCTAGAACCAAACTAGAACTAACAATGAGGTAGTTTTGGGGAGCATAGACATATCATAGGAAGGAGGCAAGTTTACCACATCAATAGATTCAATCATAACACTTCCCCACCTAAAGACAGGTGAGGGGTCACACTCTGCAAGCAGAATATTACCCATCAGAAAATGCTAATATTAAAAAAATGAAATATAATAGATGAGGGATCTTTTACCTGGATATAACTAGCTCCAAGGAGGCCACCATTTCTTAGTTTGAATTGTGTCCTGTAATCACTACCCTGCATCAAGAAAAAACGATTCACCATAACAAAAATGGACATTTGCATCAAAACAAATTAAAGTGTATTTGAATTTTGAAGGTACAATGTCATGCAAGAACATAAACTACAAGATTTCTAGATATCATAACCATAAAGAGCCACAAGATGAATAATGTACATTATAGTCAAAGTTGAACATTCCATGTGACCTGTGAGGCTCATTCGTAAGCAGATATAAGTCCAAAATTGAATTAACAACATACCAAGTCAGCTAATTGAGAAGGGAGTTCTGTAGGCCCCATAACAATACTGTAAATTAAAACAGAAAACTCATCAAATCAGAAGTAGATTAATCCATACCAAGTCAAAATAAGTTAAATGTGTAGCTGGCTACCTGTGACTTAGTGAGAATCTCTGATTCAGACCCTTGGGAAAGTAGACACGCATACCCTCAAAAAGATTAGGCTTTAATGACACTGCATAGGAGTAAGTGTGTTCAATATAAGGAATAATAAACATATTATTGATGAGAAACATCATAATGCCCACAAAGCTGATAAGAAAATAAAGGGTGATTGATGAAAAGTACCAAAAGTTGGAAGAATAAGGATTTAACCTTGAAATTTCACCCAAAAGAATGTGAACAGTGAACATTAAACATTAATATGAATATGATACTCCTCAAGAATGAAAATTAATGCAATTTTTATCCCATGTATGGAGTATAATGTGTATTTTCGAAACAATTTTGACACAATTCTACCCTTGGACTTGATAACATTCGTCACACAAATCAAATAGAATTCACCAGGATATTTCTAAGTACACATTTGATCGGTTTCGAGGAATTAACTAATCAACAATACAGTAGCGTCCGATTATTCAGGAAAAACTAGTATCAGTCTCACCGAAGATCCATAATTAATAAGATCGAGAACGGTGTATACGTTTAACAAATAAAACGGCGTAGATTTCAGCAATGAAGTTGGATCACGAGAAAATCTGAAGTTGTTTGACAGAATTTCAGATCTACAAGCATCAAAATTTAAATTCGTAACTGAATATAACACCAACATACCGTCACTCGCCTCCACCGTCACTCACCTCCACCGATAAGCCCATCTCTATCTGGACCAAGCCATCAGAAAAGTCGCCTCCGCTCAAGCCATTTTTATGCGCGTGGTGGTTGAATCAGCGAAATCATCGTCTTCGGAGGAAGAGGAAGGACTTGGAGTTGAGTTGTTGTGTCTGGTAAGGAATTTGTTGAAGAAGATTAAGAGGAGAGTATTAGTAGGAGATAAGGTGTTGGTATGTTCGATCGATTGGGTTGATCGAAGAGGAATGATCGAAAATGTGTTTAGTCTATTTTAGGGTTCTTAATTTGGTAGAGGATTTTAGAAGGAGAAAAAGAGGCGGGGTGTTTAATTTTTTTTTGGGATTTCATTCCCGTCTATTAAAAAAATGGAGAACGCGCTTCCTAAAAAATATAAAACGACACCCTTACACGACACACTTCATATGATAGGTGCCCTCCGTGTTTTTTTTTTGGACACTAATTTTAGGGTGCGCAAAAATGCGTGTCTTCTATCCTTCAAATTTTGGAAAACTGACATTAATTTTTAAGGCACGCACAAATGCACGTCCTCTATCAGTGTGTGTCATTAATTGCGCGTCGTAAAATGCTGTTTTTCTAGTAGTGGCAGTTCCGTTGACCCGACTGACCAAGAAGTCGGTAGTTTTCCGCTGGGGACCTGAGCAGCAGACAACCTTTGAGACGCTCAGGCAACGAGTGTGCGAGGCTCCAATTCTCACTCTGCTAGAGGGTGTAGATGACTTCGTATTTACAGTGATGCTTCGATCACAGGCATGGGAGCAGTATTGATGCAGCGGGGTCATGTAATAGCTTATGCCTCGAGACAGCTGAAGCCTCACGAGGCTAACTATCCGACGCACGACTTAGAGTTGGGGGTTGTGGTGTTCGCCCTCCAGATTTGGCGGCATTACCTCTATGGGGTCCGTTGTATCATTTACACAGATCACAAGAGTTTCATATACCTCATGGATCAGCCGAATCTGAACATGAGGCAGCGTCGGTGGTTAGATGTGGTTAAGGATTACGATTGTGAGATCCTTTACCACCCAGGCAAGGCCAACGTACTGGCCGACGCCCTGAGCCGCAAGGCGGTAGCGGCACCGATCCGAGACATCTGTCTGAGGATGACAATGATTACTCCACTATTGGAGCAGATTAGAGAGGCGCATGTTGAGGGCCTGAAGGAGGAGCGTCAGAAGTGCGAGAGGATTGTGGGCCGGGTGGCCTCGTTTGATTATGACAGCTGAGGGTTGTTGACCCTGCAAGGGAGGGCATGGGTTCCGTACTGGGGTGAAGTACGACATGTTCTAATGGATGAGGCCCATAAGTTGAGGTTATCCATCCATCCCGGGGCGACGAAGATGTACAGAGATCTTCGACCCAATTACTAGTGGCCCTGCATGATGTGAGATGTAGCTTGATACTTAGAGAGATGTCTGACCTGCAGGAAGGTCAAGGCAGAGCACCAGAGGTCTCACGGCAAGATGCAGCCGTTAGACATCCCCGTGTGGAAATGGGAGGACATTACGATGGATTTTATCACTAAGCTTCCCAGGACCGCATGTGGGGTTGATTCGATATGAGTTATCGTGGATCAATTGACCAAGAACGCTCACTTTATCCCGATTCAGGAAAGCATATCGGCCGAGAAGCTGGCCGAGATTTATGTGCGAGAGGTGGTGGCACGTCATGGACTGCCTGTCTCGGTGGTGTCAGATCGAGATATCCGTTTTACTTCCAGATTTTGGAAGCGGTTTCACGACGAGATGGGTATTCGTCTCCTTTTCAGCACCGCTTTCCACCCCCAAACAAACGGACAGAGCGAGAGAACGATATAGACTCTCGAGGACATGCTACGCGCATGTGTGTTAGATTTCTGTGGTAGTTGGAATACGTATCTTCCGTTAGCAGAATTTTCGTATAACAACAGTTACCACGCCAGTATAAACCGGCCTCCCTTCGAGATGCTCTACGGGAGGAAGTGTAGGGCCCAAATCTGTTGGGGTGAGGTCGGTCAGAGGGTCATGGGAAGTACGAAGGTAGTACTCAAGACCACCGAGCGGATCCAACAGGTTCGGAGCAGGCTCCAGACCGCTCAGAGTCGGCAGAAGAGTTACGCCGACAAGCGGCGTTCAGACTTGGAGTTTCGGGAGGGCGACATGTTTCTCCTGAAGGTGTCGCCATGGAAGGGTGACATACGATTCCAGAAGCGGGGCAAGCTAGGCCCCAAGTATATTGGCCCCTTCCGAGTCATAGCCCGGGTGGGCAAGTTAGCATACAGACTGGATCTTCCCGTTGAGCTCAGCCAGATCCACAACACTTTCCATGTTTCCAAGTTACGGAAGTGCTTGATGGATGATTCCGCAGTGGTACCTCTTGAGGACATTCAGGTGAATTATAGCCTGAACTACATTAAGAGACCAATGGCGATTCTAGATCGCAAGACGAAGGAGCTAAGGAACAAGAGGGTTGAGTTAGTGAAGGTGCAATGGCAGCACCGTAAGGGTTCAGAGTGGACATGGGAGCCCAAGGAAGAGATGAGGGAACACAACCCAGAGTTATTTTCAGATGCAGCAGACTTCGAGGATGAAGTCTAAAACAAGTGGGGGAGAATTGTAACTCCCAGTTCCTGGTACGCATTTAAACTATTAAAATATTCATTTTGTAAGAGCTACTCGACGAGTTGGTAGCCCTAACTCGTCGAGTAGATGCCAGATTGGACGCGGGGTATAAGTGGTCTACTCGACGAGTCGAAGAAGAAGAAGATAGAAGGCTCAAAAGGGAAGAAGTAGATCCAGGAGCTACACTCCATTTACTGCATTTTTAGGTAATCAAGTCCCTAACTTGATCCTTATTCTCTTAGATCTATTTGTTTCCATCTTATGAAGGATTTGGTTCAAGAACCTTAGCCCTAGGGATTGGGACGTCCCAAGTGATGTACATCTCAGATCTGGGGTCTAGGAAGGGTTCCATGGCATAAAGGTGCAAACTTTATGACCATGGAGACCCCATGCAAGTTTATATGCAATAATATGGTCTTTTTAGCCCTAAAAGACCATGCATGGGAGGAAATCTCGGGACTTTACTTGTTCCACAGATGATAAGAGCCTAGATCTAGTATATTGTGCCTTGGTTTAGTGTATTATGGCTTGTGGATCAAGATTTATGTCTTAAAGAAGTTAGGGTTTGGGTTAAACCCATTAGGAAGGACTAAGGACGGGTAAAGTTGGAAACTTTACCCTTAAGAGTGTATTTCCAGTATGTAGATGAGGTTTGGAACATAGATCTGTATGGTAGGAGGTTAATCCATTGAGATGGCTCAATCAGACAGGGGAACTCGGCGAAGCCCGAATCTCATAGTAGTCTAGAGTGGGCGGGGCCCGATTCTCATAGTATTATTTGAGTATAGATATATGATTGTTTGGTAGATATATTTGTTGTCTGTGTGATACTTGTATGCATGTTAGTAGCGGAGTGTGGGCGGGGCCCGAATCTCCTAGACAACGGAGTGTGGGCGGGGCCCGAATCTCGATGAGAGTGGGCAGGGCCCGAATCTCCATGCGAGTGGGTGGGGCCCGTATCTCCTAGTTGCATGTTATGTGTGTATGGTATGTGGTAGTTTGGGGAGACTCACTAAGCTTCGTGCTTACAGTTTTCAGTTTTGGTTTCAGGTACTTCCACTAGCAAGGGGAAGGGCTCGGGATGATCGCATGGCACACACCACAGTTTCAGCCTGGGATTGTTTAGACTCTGATATTTTCTCATATGGTTTGATACAGTTTTTGGACATGATGTTTGAGATACATGATTCTTGATTTTCTTCTTTATAATGATGGATGATTTATGGTTTTACTAATAGTTTTTAAAAAGAAATTTTTGGTCTGTATTTTTGGGATGTTTCAAGTTGGTATCAGAGCCTTGGTTTGAGGGATTCAGGCACGCTCTCGGGTGTGTCTGAACTCAAACTAAGGAGTTGGTATGAAAATTTTCAAAAGAAAATCATTTTTATAAAAAAGAACTGTGAGAAAAAGAAAAGAAGTTTTGAAAAGATAAAAGAACTTTGAAAAAGATAAAAAGGGTGTCGATACCGGACCTATCGAGGGAGTATTGTAACATCTACTTTTTTCAGGTTTGCTTTTGGACCCCTGAGTTTTGATTTGTTGCAAGAAGGGGTCCCCGATGTCAAAATCGGTGACTTTTGGTGTTGCTTGAGTACGCGGGGCGTACGCCTTGGTACGATGAGCGTACTATGTCCCGTGCCAGTACGTTGTGCGTACTCCTGTACGCCGAGTGTACCTGGTTCATACCAAAACCCTAAGAATTAGGGTTTGTGCACTATTTAAACACCATTATG